AAATTCCTACAAATATTAAGCTACATAATACTGAGCTACCTAATTTGAAATTATGAACCTACCATTGTCATAGCTAACTGTAATCTAACTACACTAACAGATGGATGGTATTTTTGTGAATCTAACAAACTTGGTTTCATTATTTTTAGACATCTACATGATTTACTACAATTTATTAGAGTTCAGCTCAGACTAATATTGAATAAACATTCACGAATTTACTGGAAAATGGAAACTTATTCCTATCTCACGGCCCAACTCGAGCGGCTCGGCCCAACCTGGCGCAACGCGCCTACGCACACGGCGCGGCCCACGCGGGGGCGCGGCCCAGCCGAACGACAGCCCGTGGCGGGGAGGACCCGCGCACGCCGGTCAATATGTAAAAACACCCTCGGACTACTCTGTAATCCCACAAGAGCTAAGCGCACTGTTCCGCTAGTCTACCATCTTACATATATGCCCCTGGAACTTCCTACCTTCACGACAGCGACACCCCCCGGGCACCCGCGCGCGCACCGACACGGCGGCGCTGGCACCGGGCGGCTACGCCGGCGAGCACAGCTCCTCCCCGCCCTAACTACGGGACCGATGCTTACCTAGGAGCGAACACGAAGCGTCGGGCGAAGGAACGTGAGCCGGGACATAGCAGCGAGGTCGGACCACGGTGGCAGAGACCCTGCAGTCACGGCGGTGGCGTTCTGGTGAATGTCAGCAAAGCCGGGGCAAAAGGGGTAGCTAGTGAGCTCAAGTGAGTCACCAAGAAACCCAACCGAGGCGGTGGTTCATTCGGAGATGGCCCGAGCCAAGCTAGCCGCGTGCGCACGGGCGGTGCGACGGCGCACAGCAATGGCACGGCTGCGTCAGGGAAAGCTGGGCTGCGGTAGCGCTTCGGCCAAGGTGCGCAGGGTGCTTAGCAAGTGGAGACGAGGCTTGCAGCGCAAGGAATTCCCACAAGATGCTTTGGATACGTGGCTTGCCGACGGCGCATGCCCGTCCGGTCTTAAGGACCCGACGGAGCGGCAGCTCCAAATTGGGGCTTGGCAAGGCAAGGTTCACTACAAGGTGGGGTCAGTTGGGTAGCTGGCTACACAGCGGAGCCGAGGGCGGAGTTAATTGCACTGCGGTGGCTCCACTACGGCGAAATCGGAGGAGCGATCCCGGCGACATAGTGACTGGGGAACAGGGAAGTTAGGCATGGCTTGGCTCGGCGCTGAGCGCCGTAGAGGATGGCAGGTCAGGGAAGACAGTGGCGTAGCATCGCAGCGGACATGGATGCGATGGCGAAGTTAGGCAGCCGTCCCATGCGTGTGCAGCAGTGGTGGGTCAACGGGAGCAGTACCGTGCGGCAGCGATGGACGGCGCGTAGTGCGATCGGGGTACCGTGAGACGCTACGGCGAGGCAGAGCAGCCAGGTCCACCGGCGCAGTGCGCGTGCGTGCGTGTGCGTGGTGTGCCGGGCAGCAACGACAGCGTGAGCTGCAACGCGGGACCCGACGGCAAGTCCGGCCAGTGCGTGGGCAGGGCGCGGGCAGGCATCCAGGACGCGGCACGGCAGCAGCGGCGATGCGAGCTGCGCGCCAGTGCGTGGTGGCAGACGGTCGTGGCTAGCAGCGCAAGGGCCACGCGCGCGGGCGTGCTTGCACAGGCGCGGCAGTGAGGACATGGCCGGCGCTACAGCGCACGCTAGGCTGGCCAGCAACGGTGCCAGGCCGAGCAGAGGCGATGACCGCGGCCAGCGCTAGCTCCGTTCAAAATATGTGACTTGCACGTTTTTTAAAGCTGTTGAAAAATCCTACCCGATGATCCCGTAGCTAAACCAGCTCTTCTATCCTCAAGAGGGTACATAGGGCTATTGAACTAAGCTAAAACATCTAGCCACTTCTTAACCCGATCGTTCTACGAAAATTGTCGAACATGGCTTCGTCGACCCATTTTTGGACTTACGCGAAATGACTAAACTTCAAACTGTTTCACGTCGAATTCCATTCCCGAGCCACTCGATACACTAGTTAGCGAACCCCATCCTCGACCGCACGTATTTTATCGTCGCCTATGAAGTTCGTACTATGACCTTTATCAAAGTTTCGCATAAGCGATCTATAGCATTTTGTTCGATAAAAATTCACTTAGAACCCTAAACGATATAAAGCGACATGAAATGTAGCATTTGTTTCTTATTTCAGATGAACGTTTCAAGTGTCGTATATTGATTTATACCCTATATTACACACAAGTATGATGCTCATACGATGTTTTGGCAAAAACTATACAATGTAACACCGAGGGTGTTACAGTGTACAGGATATGGTCCTTCGTCTTGCGGTTGACTTGAGTGCCCTGTCTTACTTTCTCCATCTGTTTCCTGGTCCTTACCGAGCGGGCGTCCCCGGTCGGTTGGTCCCAGTCGGCTCTGATTGCCCTAGTCGGAGAGGAGCAGTAAGTAGGGGTTCGGCGCATTCCCGGTCGAAGAAGCGGGTCGGAGTCCGAAGTGGTGTTTGGCCAGGCCTTTCGGTCGGAGAGGCCGTCCGGAGGCAGGCCGGAGTTAGAGGCGAGGCCTTCCGGTCGGAGAGGCGGGCCAGAGTCGGAAGCGGGCGCCGTTCCTCCTCGGCCAGGCCTTCCGGTCGGAGAGTGGATTGTCCTTCTGGCCTGTCGTTTGGGTGTTTGGGCTGGCCCAGGAGTTGTGTGTCGTTTGCAACGTTGTCTGCTGGGCCGAGCTCTTGCTGGAAAGCTGATCCATGAGGGACCCCGGGTTTATGAACCCGACAATGTATGTAATATGACCGGTTTTTTATTTTAACATAAAATATCATTAAACTTTGTACATGATGAATCCGCTAAAAAATTATTTCTGGTACCCTGTTGGTATTGGTGTACAATTTTAACCTTATAACGTGATTAGGTTTGTACACGTCATGACATGAGAGTGATAGCTGTCATTTTAGTTTAGCCATGGCAAAAAAAAAGGACGTGACGACAATCGCACAAAAGAAATGGTGCAGCCATGTGCAAGAACAGGGAAGGGGCTGCATGCTCACCCATGTCTCACATGATTAGAGGGATTTGAGAATGTTTTTCCTATTTTAATTAATTAATTGATTTAAAAATCTAAAAAAAATCAATGACTCAGATTTATTTGAGATATTACCTCCTAGGAAGTAAGGAGGATACCGTAGCATTGCCTATTTTTTTTATCAATATAAGCATTTTGTACTATGATTAAGACAAAGGAAGAGAGGGGACAACAATTCTATGTAGTCAAATAAGCTACGAACTATACTTACTCTTTCATATTTTACAGGGATTCAGATACATATAAAATTATTTTCATCAAGCTTTCATATTGAACTTTCCAAATATTTTTGCGATTACATAGTACAACTCAGACACTCACAACGCACATACACTCACCCCTATGAACGCGCACACACACACAAACCCTAGCCCTATGAGCATTTTCGAAGACTGGACCGGTAAATCCTCGAGATTGACGAAATTATCAAATGTGCCTCGTTGTTGACGGGAACGTCGCCTACCTTTTTTTTTAGCACAAACGCCGTTAAATCCTGAAAGCTTTCCATTGTTGTCCCATTTTCATATTTCCCTGGAAAATGTGAAAACAAGGGGGACAAATACATGATTCCACACCCGTTCTCACCCCTAGTATTTAGTTAAAAGAAAATAGTGTACTCTCTCAAGTACAAATAATGATGTTTCTTGACTTCAACACCTCTAACACAAAATTGTAATTAATATTATTTGTATAATATATTTATCAAAAAACATGTTGCCTCTCTAGAAAAGTCTACCTCTTGATGTCATTTTTCAAATATCAAAACTCGGTACACAAAAGAATTGATTTAGAACCAAAGATTAAAATGCCTCACTGCATGCATGATGAAACCTGAAAATACTGTTCTATTAGTGACTGAAGGGAGTAATATCCAACAGTAACTTCTTGTTGCAAAGATTAGTTGTGTATCCATATTCCTCCATAAGGAGATAACGACATCACAGTGGTTTTCTGGTTCAATCAAAAGCAGTGGCAAAGTTGGGTAGGACAGCATGTGAACCCAAAAATTTGCTGATTCGTCTTCGTCTTGACGACGTTAACGACGTCGCATCAGAGAAGCTTCCATTCGATTGACTAAGCCTTGATAATAAATATACCACCCAAACCAAAGAGAGCTTCATCACTGCTCTCAATCTCTCCCTCTCATCTCAATGTTTCATTCATTAAACTTTGCGATAACATGGGAGCAGCAGTAGAGCACAGGACGTAGACGTACGGTCACCGGCGTCCATGGATTCAAGCTCACAGCCCGGCGGCGCAATGTATGCATCTCTCTCCCCCCCACACACACACACACACACACATCGTTTGGGGATGAATCAAATGGGGCTGCCAATTATCAAGGAACGAATGGTTTTTTGTTCACCCTCTTGTTATACTAGTCTTCTCTCACGCTATGTTTGATGCGTTTGCTTTAAACCACACTCGGTATATTAGGGGTTGGCAACTTATCATAGCTTTGGTTCTCATGCACTGCATGGTTCATCATGTTTTTGTCAAATTTTCATGTAGCAACATGGAGGTACCACAACGGATGTTCAAGTTCATGATATATGCATGGCTTAGCACTACGAAGTATATATATACTTCCCTATAGATATCAAATATCATCCCTGACTACTTGCAGTAAATAAATAGATTTATGAATCATCTATTTATTACCATCAATTCCAATTGGTTTAAGCAATTCAGCTGATCCTGCTAGTGTAGCTGCTACATAGATCAGCTTAAACTTTGCATCCTTGTATAGAACTATATATAGAAGCAAAAGTAATTAAGCACCAGGCGGCAGATATGTTACGTACTGGTTGTTGTTATGCGTGTTACAAAAAACTGTAGTGATGCATGCAGAGGGAGCGGAGGAAGAGAGAGAAACCAAAGGGAGGAGGAGGCGGCGGCGGCAGAGGCCGGCAACGGCAGCCAGCTGGTGATGCCGGAGGACGGGTACGAGTGGAAGAAGTACGGCCAGAAGTTCATCAAGAACATCCAGAAAATCAGGTACTTGCTCCGTTCGACTTCGATCGAACATGCATACATAGCAGCATTTTATTTTTGGCATCGATCGACGACCCGAGGCGAGATTGATGATCTCGAACTGTCAAATAAAGGTAGTGCAAACTTGATCATACCATTTCGCGTCACATCAGATTAAATAGCTCGACGTTGACCAAGCTTTGACTTGTTCATCTCCTTTCGTCCTGTGCATCAAATCATTTTAATTGAGTCGATATGACGCCCATCGATCGATCACTGGGATAATGGAATGGATTGCCCCGTCCCCGTGCATAGGCATACGTGCAATGCTTTGCTGCCAGATCTTATCGTCGAAGAAGAATCAACCGAAGAATCCTCGCTTTCTTAATAACGGTCAACCAAATAAAGCCTGATGAGCAAATTGCACAGGTGTGTGTTGCATGCCAACTGACGATCCAATGGCGCAGGAGCTACTTCCGGTGCCGGCACAGGCTGTGCGGCGCCAAGAAGAAGGTGGAGTGGCACCCGTGGGACCCCAGCGGCTACCTCCGCATCGTCTACGAGGGCGCGCACCAGCACGGCGCCCCGGAGGCGGCGGCGGCTCCTCCCGGCGCACAGCTGCAGGGCGGCGGCGCCTCCTCCAACAGATACGAGCTGGGCGCGCAGTACTTCGGCGGGGCCCGGTCGCAGTGACCCGGGTCAGCTGGCGCTGGGGTGACAACCGACAAGAAAGGCCGGCGGCGTCGCGTCACGCACGGATCAGCTCCTGCGGTCCTGCCCCTGCTGGCCTGCTGGCTGCGGACCTGCGGCTGCATCCGTCTCTTTCGCTGCGCACCGGAGGGCAGCTGCAGGTGCTGCCGGTGGTGGTGCCGGTGCCGGTTGACGCCTTGCGCCGGCGCAACGTGATGTTGAGTGCGGATTAATTGTTGCTGCTCTGGTCTAGTACTAGTGTACGGTACCATTACGACGATGGTGCATAATTGTAATAATTCAGATTTAGATATATGTATAATATGGATCGGAAAAAAAAACAATTAGATGGAAGTGGGAACTAGCACCGCCGCTATTATGTTTTGTTTTTGCAACTCTAATGTGAAAAAAAGTGTAACCTCAAGGGCAACTTGTGTGCTAGTAGTGGAAAGGCTCCAGAGTTGGGTTCGAGGCCCTGGTCACCCAGCTTGAATCATCCCTTATCAGTGAATGCGACGCTTTCGACCTAGCTTTATCAGTGGGATAAGCCTAATCCGTTTAGTCAGCTTTAACATTCAATCATTTGCAGATAGCACGACGTCAATGAGTAATGAGTGCCTCACTGTACCCGCTAATGTCTGCCGACAACTGATCACTGCAACTGCTCGATATGCACAACCCAATAAGTTGGCAAAATTAACAAAAGAGTAAATTGCACGGCCGGTTCTTAAAGTATTGGGCAGGTTTCATCAAAGTCCACAAACTATGAAATCGCAAGTTTGACTCCTTAATATATCTAAGTGATTTCATCCAGGTCCAAAATAAACACGAGTAAGGTTAGAAGGTGACGTGGTCGTCCACGTGGTTAGCCACGTAGCAATGGGCTCGAGGCGCACTCGCCCAGCAGGCCATGGCCGCCACCGGCAGCGACAGCCTCGCCACCAACCGCGCTAGCCGCGGCGACCCTGGCCCGCATCGCGCTCGACCTCCTCGCCCCATGGCCACCTCTCCTCTGCTGTTCCTCTGGCCGAACGCCGCCCCACCCCGTCTCGGCGCCCCACGCATGCGAGCGCTGCCCCAGCGCCTCCTCGTACGCGCGGCCGCGTGATTCGGCGCCTCCGTGGCTGACCTTGCCTCACAGTGCCAGTGGTCGAGCGAGGGGAGGCTTGGTGGCGGTGGAACGTGGCGCAGCAGGAGCTCGCTCGGCCATGGCGGACCGCAGCAGCGAGATTTCAAAATTTGCCACTCGTAGTGGATGGTTTGCAACGGAGTTATTTCCAGGGGCTACACGATAACTGGGCACAGCTACGTGTGCGAGGAATTGGAGCGGGAGGCCTCGAGTTACGTGAATTTGGAAACGGGGAGGTGGCGGTGTTTACCGGCGTCCATGGCGGTGACGGCGGGCACGAGTTTCTGGCTGGGTCAAGGCCGGCCAAGCTAAGAGAGCATGCCATCGTGGGAGTAGATGGGCCAGGCGTCGTTGGCCGTTGGTCTCGCGTAGCGACCGGACGGAGCGGAATATGCCTCGGTGAGGGCGCACGCGCGCTGCCTCATCGGCTCGGCCTGGCGCGGCGCACAGGATGGCGGCAGCGGCTTTTTGCATCGGTGTAGGGGGCAGCAGCGCTTACAAGCTGTGGCAGAATCGCCTAATCTAATGCTTCACAGGAGTACTTGTCTTCCATTAGACACTAAGTACCCAGGAGAGGGCACCAAATTACGCGGTTCTGTCGAGCACACCCCAAGGGAGAACCCAAAAATCTACATTTTTTCGTCAGGATCACAAATGAGAGAATAAAGCTTACATCATTATTAATCATTTCTTACATCACTTTTCATGTAACATCAGAGTATAATATTTATTATTTATAATAGCGGAATATGAACATGTTATCAGAGTTATGAACAATTTAATTTAATAGCGGAATATAAACATGCGATCAGAATTACAGCGGAAATAAATATCTATTCATGACATGATGAAGCATGGGTATATAAGCTATGATAACAAATTATAGAACTTCTATTTATAAAAAAATTTGGTGGGAGGTATAAATAAAAACTATGATCGCAGCGTAAAGGAATCCCCTCTGAGCCCACCAGGAGGAATCCACACATAAGAGTCAGCTCTAGTATCCGTCTGTCACCTGCAACAGGGAGAAATAAAACCCTGAGTACTCAATTGTACTCAGCAAGACTTACCCGACAAGAGGAAAGAAAATACTCCAAGGATATGCAAGGCTAGCTGGCTTGTGGATTTATTGCATCTGCAGGAAGCATTACTAAGCGTGTGTCCTTATATTCAATTTTATTAGCAATCAGCATTAGTTCATTAACCAACCATTCTACGTGAACACCTATGCTACTTTCAAGCAGGTGGTAAGCAATCAGAATTATTTTACCATCTTTTATCTTTTAGTTCTTATTACGGTACTAGATTGTAGACAAGTCGTACCGGATCGCCCGATGATTCGCGAATCAATATATCCAGCTGGGTACCCCGAAACACACGCCCTGCTTGTACCTCAGGCACAAGCAGGACCAACCCACTACCCTCCTGTCATGGGGGTCTACGTCCTCGTCCAAACTTGGACTCCAAGCCCCCGTCCCTAAGTCCCAGACTCAGTGCGGTTCTTGAACCTCCACCCAAAAACCACCCTAGAAGTCGGTTCGAAAAGAGCCAGAACCCATGACAAAATAGTACCAAGTCTTCCCTGCGTCCATACACAAGTATGTGCTCGGGATAATAAGTTTGTGACTTGTCTAGAGTCCAATGCAACGGTCGGTCCTTAACCGACACAGACAGGGAAAACAGTATAACCAAGCTATGCCCCGTTGGCCACATGACACAACCTCTTACACCCACCAATACCCAAACCATATCCCTATCCGGTCTCCATTTATCATTCATTCATATATATATATATATATATATATATCACAAGTGATTATAATATAGTAACAACAATAATATATTTTCTATCTCTCGCGAGTGACAAGCAATCACTCGACTTCTACCGGAGTCCTGTAGCATAGCAATCTACACGATCCTGTCATACTAGTAAGACTCGAAGGATAAAGATATATATATATATATATATATATACACACACACACACAAGTGGGTTTCATTCAACTCCTTAAAACTTAATGCACAAGCATCAATTAAAGTGCAGAATAATATGGGTTATGCATCAGAGCTTGCCTGGGTAAGATATATACTAAAAAGTTAGTATCTGCATCTTCAGATCATCCACCATCATGTGAATAGAAAGCCCATTGCTTCATCTCCTGGAGAGAATACCATTACACCATCTTTAGATTCCCAATCATCCTTCAATTGATCCGTTGATCCATCATCATACCTATATGATATGCATTGATGCAAATGATGCAACAGATAATTAACATGGCAACAACAACTCTTAAAACAGAGTACATACTACGAACTAGCAAGCTAGCTCTAATTACTAACGTACTAATATATGCATCAATATCGTCGAGAAAGGTGGCATTTTCCAACGAGTGCTTAAGTTATAAAATTCCAAGGTGTTTCTTTATTTCATTTATTTGATTTACTATATATTCAAACTAGGGCTCATTTGCTATCTCAGTAATTTAATTTCACTGCAGCTACAAAAATATCAGTGGACACCTAACCATATGATGAACCTACCATAAAAAATTCATAGCATTTGGAGCAAGGAAACTAATTTAATTAATTACAACAATAGATTAATTTTTAAAGCAAATTATTTTTGCACTAAAGCATGTGATTTTATGTGTTCACTGTGTAGAGTCCAACAACATTGGATTTGTCATTTTACGTTTTTTATTTGATTTATTATAAATTTTACAAGTTTTAACCATTTTAAACAAAAACTAGAAAAAGAAAAGGGCACTTGGGCGGCTTGGCCAACCGCATTACATCATTTGGGCGGCCAAGAGGTTTAGGCACACGCTGCCCACCCCAACCAGTCAAGCGCCCACGCCTGTGACCAAGGCCCGAGGGGGGCGTGCCACTTTTGCAGAAAAGACCCTGCAGTTTTACCAAATCGATCTGAAGTCCAGCATACACTATTCATGTGAGTCACGTTTATACACCTAGAACCCTATATTAGTTTCTATTTACACTTCTACGTCCTTACCTCCTCCAGAACAGAGCATGCAGAGGGGGAGCCATCACCGGTGGCCGAATCCAACCGTGAGGTCGCCGACGGCGGTGGGGAGGCGGCGTCACGGCTTGCCCGCTGCCGGGCGCACCCGCTGGTGGACGTGGCTCAGCCAGAGCTGGAGCGTGGAGCCCCGGCCATGTGCGTCGGCGCTCGGGAGGGGCGGCTCTGCGGTGAGGACGTGCCGACGGCGAGGTGGTGGTGAGGGGGCAGGCCAGGGAGGCGCGCATGCACGATAGGACCTGGCCTGGCCGCGGCACGGACCGAGGCAGGGCACGGCACGGCGGCCACGCGCGGGCGCAGCAGGGGCGGCCCAACGCGGACGACGGCGGGGGTGCTGCGGGGTGCGGCACGGAGGTGGAGCGGCGTGGGGCAACGTGGCTCGGGCGCGCTCGCGCGCGCGGTGGCTGGCGATGGGAGCGACGCGGGGCAACGCGGCACCAGTGAGCATGGAAGACCTGGCGGCAGAGTCGCTTGGGAGGGCAACGTTGTGGAGCCGGCGACGGGCGAGCGGGAGGCGCAGCACACGATGGCTCCCGGCTCGGTGAAGACCGACGAGCACGCGCGGGACACCGAGGAGAGCGAGGTAGAGGGTCGAGTGCGGAAAGGCGCCGAGCAGTGGCGAGCACGAGCTTCGTGGTGGCCATGGCGGCTGTACGCTCGAGAACTAAAAGGGGAGAGAGCGGAGCTGTGCCAACGCTCGGCTGAATTTGCAGCTCGCCATTAATGGTGACGCTGTGCTCCGAGCGGCAGCTAGCGAGCGTCGGCGAGCATCTACTTGCAGCTGCTTGGCTCTGCCGTAGCACAGGGCGACGGGACGAGGCAAGCAGGCAGTGGTGCAGCGTGTAGCGGGGGAGGTGAAACTGGGCGCGATGGTGAACTCGGCGGCGTTGCTTATGTGTGTGCTTGTCCAGTGCAATGAATTTGCACGGTGGGCATGCTACTGCTGCCTGAGCGCGTGCTGGCAGCGCAACACGGCCACGACGTGGTCCCGGCGCCCAGCGCAATGTGTTCGCGGTGGTCGCAAACACCGTTCGAACGGCCGCTGTAAACAACGTGCACTGATTTTAAGGCGAAACAAAAGCCACTGATCAACTCGACTCAGGTTCAACCGATTCCACTAACCTAAAGTAGGTACTAACACCTAACTAGCGAAGTAACTCTTACGACCAGAGGATAATCGGAGAGGAAGTTAGAGCGACGTCAAGATAGGTTTGTCACGCTGAACGACAGTCCACAAACAGAGCGTCAGCGGCATAGCTACAACGCGTTTCGATTAAATTTGGACAAATTCTGCGACTCCATGACAACTCCAACCCAACCGTGGACTTCACCAAGCTAAAGTACTCACTTAGATGCAACCAACACTACGAAAACATAGACCTAGTGTTTAACAAATTTAATCAAAATTTCAATGCCAAAACGGCATCGCCGTTAGGTTTCCAGACTTAAAATCGTTTAGTTCTAGAAGCTGAAATTATATTCCACTTTCAATTCTTGAGCTATCAAAAATATCATGGAACAACATTCTATACGCCAAATCAACAGTTGCATTTTCATCTACTAAACTTGCACTTCAAATTTTATTTAAGTACCAATTACAAGTTATATTTTATTTTTGCTTATAAAAATTATTTTTCATGCTAACGATTAAAACTACCCGTCTACTTCCTTGTCGGGATTTTCATTAGCATCTTTATGCGAGTTTTAACTCTAACACCCGAGAAACCTGCCTTGATAATTGCTCTTAGGCCTTAATCTAGGTGGTAAGCGAGCTCGTAACACCAGAGATGTTACACATGCGATTTGACATGCGAGAGCGGCAATGACAACAACAGCAGCAGCAATGACACAACAAGGCAGGTGGTCGACCTCAGACCACCGAGGCGCCGAAGCAAGCGGACACAAGATACTGTGAGGGCGCTGGGTAGTGCTCGCTTGCGAGGGGGGCGGAGGCGCTGGGGTAGCACTCGCGTGCGAGGGGGTCGAGCGCGATGTGGGCCAGGGTCACCGTGGCCAGCGGCAAGGCTGTCACTGCCGGCGGTGGCCATGTCCGGCTGGACGAGCAGGCCTTGATTCCGCTGGTACCGACCATGGACAACCACGTCAGCTTCTAGCTCTCGTATCTATTTTAGAACTAGATAAAATCATTTAAATACATTAAGGAGCCAAACGTGTGATTTCGTACTTTATGGACCAAAGTAAAACTCACCCGATACTTTAAGGACCGTCCATGTAATTTACTCTTATCGAAAACGCCAAATAGCTGTAACCACAGTTCCCTGCGATACGAGACAGTTCGTTTCACCGAGCATTCTTTCCAGAAGATAATTATACAGTACGTAGAATTCAAATTATTCACCCTAGCATGTCTATCATTTGGAACATTTGGAAACAGAAACATACATGTCTATCATTAGCCACTAGCAAAGAGGCACACCAATAGCATGGTCTACTGACCGGTTCCTCCATACGGTGATAACCAACAAGATTAAGTCCCAGTGTCCTAAACGCTACAGCATCTCAAATACAACAGATAACTTACAACCAGTCACGCAGTCCCGTCAGTACATTTGCCCTTGCCCGCATTACATACAGTGCCAGCCTTTTCATCATCGCACAGCACACTGAAAGATACTCAAAAAAGACTTTAAAAGACTCGTGTCTCAAAGACAAAGTAGGGCAAAATTTATCTACTCTTGTTAGCACTCAAGTTAACGCTGCAACCACATGGGACAAGCATGTACCCTGCAGTTCACACAAACTACTCAACTTAGACATAATGAGGTGTCAGTGTTCACCAGGGCCCTACCCAAATGGATCAACTTACAAGTCCACCAGCTACCACAACAAACCCACCCAATCATGACACCGAAGCTCACAGAAATTACAAGATGCTATAAGTTCTGCCAGACTTTTTATGTACAGTTAGAATTTATGGTCACACGAAAACCTCATGGAAGCTTGTAATTAGAAGAACGTGACCTTCACTGGGGTCATCTGCAAAGAGGGGCATCAGAAGGAAAAGATTAGTTTTAAATAAGTAATTTTAGTACTGCACACACCGTCGTGATAAACAATAAATTGTCCTTTGGGAACACAGGAATTTCACAGAAATGAAGTTCAATTTCAAGGGAACCAGTTCATTTTCACAGGAAAACACAGGAAACAGGGGGGAGGGGGGGGATCCCACATTCCAAAAGGAGCTCAAAGAGAGAAGGAAAGATCCCCTCAGCTCAGGCAGCTATTTACAAGCCATGGCTTGCATAGCATAGCATTCGCATACATTGCTTTTTATCAGTAATGATATCAAACAGCAAAACAAATCAACCACTTCATAGCTATACATCAAATATAAAGGCAGATGAATATTTCAAATCACCCAACAAGAGTTCTCTGCCCTTAGCTTCTTACTAACCTTTTTTGTGGCATCTGATTTGAATAACCAGAATACCATGATAAAAGTTTGTTTCGAAAACACAGTAGAAAACATGATTCCAACAATTTTACTATCAAGTCTAACAACAAATAACATACAGGTGCCCAGTCCCACACATGTTCCAAAAATGAGTACAAGACATAGTGAACATAGTCAACAGAACAAGAGAATCTCAATTGTAGCAAGAGTCATGCACGCACTATGATTGAAGCATGATAAAAAGAACTACATACCATTGCTGAACTTTTCTAAACTCTGTCAGTACAGGATAGATGTTTTCGAATGCAGTGTAGGTCTCCTCTCTCACCTACAAACAATGGAGTATGAAATGAAGGAAAAAGATAAGCAAATCGCGGTATTATTAAGCATGTGCAAGAAATGACAACTAACCTTTGCTCCAGTCAAAACAATCTTGCCTGAAACAAAAATTAAAAGAACAATCTTTGGTTGTTTCATCCGATAGATAAGGCCAGGAAAGAGTTCTGGTTCGTACTGTAAAACAAATGAAAATGTCATTATCCAAGAATGGAGCCCAAAAAAGGGTAAAAGAATTACTGTGATGTTAAAATAAGCCATCATTGGACATACACTTGAGAAGGCACCATGAGAATATGCAAGGCCCTCAAGCCTAATTGGAAACTTGACATCACAAGAGCCAACAATATTCTGAATCTTAAAGTCCTGGCCATAGAACAGCAACTTAGCAACTGATGTACAAATTGTTCAAGCACAGGTCAATGTACACAACTATGAAAATAGTTACCTTAAATTTAGCAGGAAAACCAAGTTTCTGAATAATACGAGCATACTGGAAATACAGACAAGTGTTAGAATTCAGAAGCCTCTCTCAGTAAACTAGATCCAACTTAAATAAAATGGTAGCAAGACATATGGCACCTTTCTTGCCGCAAGCTTAGATTGCTGTTCGCTCTTCGCTCCAGTACATACCTGTTGATAGAAAATTATCGGTCGCTTGCTTCAGCACTACAACACTTATGATGAATTGATACAAGATTGTAGTTCTATATAAAAGAAATGCAGTTCTAATAAACTTTCTTCATTTGGAAGAAAAGCATTGACGCATCAATGCATTTAATTAATTTCAATATGACAACCAAGAAAGTCTACAATACTGAAGATATTGATCCAAATAAAATCCCAAGTAAACACCCGCCGTGATATATCATCTGGTAAAAGGGCGTACCCAGTGCAAAGAGCTCCCACTCTGTGCAGGGTCTGGGGATGGGTGTCAGTGGCAAGCCTTACCCTCGCCTGTGCAATGCGAGACCGCGACTCAAACCCGGGACCTTCCGGTCTCAGGCAGTAAGACTCTACCGCTTGCACCAGGCCCGCCCTTCAATAGATTTGCCTAGTGTAGGCTAGAGAGGGTAAGAACATTATTCTCCAATGCTTGATGATTGAGAGAGGTAGATTAGGACACAGTAAAAACAGAAAGATTAGTCTTTCTATCTTTTGACAACGCAGCACCAAGGCAACAAAGCATGTCAAAAAAAAACAGATCATATCTCACGTAGGCCATATATGCCACAAGAATTTTGATGTGAATAAATTTAATACAAGGGAAATTCTGCCACCAAAAGCTTGCAAAATCCTTGAAAATTGACAGTATAAGACAAAAGATGTTGATGACATACCATTTTACCCGATGCAAATATCAGTGCCGTGGTTTTGGGTTCCCTTATTCTCATGATGACTGCAGCAAAACGCTGTTTACAGATAAAAGAGTCAACAAACCAAATATAATAACAGAGAAAAGTTAGCAAAAATCAGGTTGCTACATTATATCATCATAACTAGAAAGACTGCATTCAATAGAATGCCCTAAGAGCAGGCAAGTCATATATAAGCTAAAAATTTAGAACTTGTTTGTCAAAGAATATTGTGGTTATTCACAGGTCAAGCTGGATATGAGCATCCATCTGGTCCAAAATTAACCGCGCACATCTCATATCCCAGGCCATCCATTAGCTATTAGCACAAAGCTATTTGAGCTCACAGACAAGATTGCACATCATTACAAAGGATCAACATACGTTGTATATCCATAAAATCATCTGCTAGATAAAACCACCAGGAAATACCGTGCAAAGCCATTGCTTTGAGGTAATCACTATACCTTTGGGTTATACTCTGCATTTCGTGCTTGCAAAGCTATTGCTTTGAGGTCAAGTTTACAATCCAAATTAACTGTTGATACAATATTCCTGTCATGAAAAAATGACATCACGTCAAGCAGACCAGGATCGAAGAACTGCAGTAAACATGTGAATTTTGTTTTGTAAAAGCAACATAGGGTTCTTATTGTAAGTTTTTAGCATTGTAGAGACACTACAAGATGATTTTCATTGTTCTTTTTTTATACGATAGTGTGCGCTATTAATTTCTTCTTCGTGCCAATTTCCAACATGTACAAATCATAATAAACGTAAGACTATCATTCAAGATAACCTACAGCCCTACACTATAATGGTTGGATCATAAAAGCTTTGTTTCAAAGTCATTTCAGGACTTGATATAGCACTGATAAGCCCATAGCATTTAAATCCCACACGAAGAATGAAATCTCCGGCAGAAAAATCTTTCACCAAAATCATAATAAAAATCTTTCACAAAAGTCAGTCCCTTAGGTTGCTTCTGGTTTGGGGACAAAGTGCGATGGATGGTCAGGTCCCTATTTTTTTGGACGGGATTGACCCAGCTCTGGTTTGGTTGGAGGGATAGGTTCATTCCAATTTTTGTTTGGTTAGAAGGATATGGTGGGGTGGAACCCGCTGGAGTTTTAACACCATTAGATGCAATAATCCATGGCCCCACCAGCCATTGTCTCTACACCTATTGTTGTTGTCTTCTTTGGGTGAGCAAAGCCTGATTCCCAAGATTTCGTACCGCAGTCGCCCAACATCTCACAGCTCTGGTGCCCAAGAGCTGGGCACTACCACCGCCCAACCCATTCGCCCAAGATCTCGTGCAGAGATCTCGGCATTGCAGCCACCAGAGATGCTCAATCTGCCCCACCAGAGATCTCGTGTGGCCAGAGGAGGTCATCAGACCCACTCCTTCCCATGCTGGAGCTCACACCACTCTTGTGGTCGGCGCTAGCCCAGTGCGCTGCATATTCTCCGTCCATCTCTCCTCCGCTTGCCTTGAGCCCCGAGCTTCCCCATGCCCGCGGCCCCTCCGTTTGACCACGCTCGCACCTGCCAATGCAAAGATGGCGCACGACGCGGTCCACAAGGAATGGCTTCATCCACCCGATTCGAGGGGACCGAGCTGTCCGCATATTTCAGGAATATGCCACTGCAGAAATGACCCCGTCCCAGCACCTCCCAACCAAACACTGGTGAAAAAACTCCCAACCAAACACTGGTGGAAAAATGATTGCCCCATTCGGGACGTCCCTCAAACCAAACCAATGCATTTAACCCTCCCCACGAGATGAGATATCGAAATCTCAGTCCGTGAGGCTGACTGCTTATCACATTATTACACAATTTATGCACCAACCAGTCAAAACATGGAATGGAAATATGGTCAAGAAGAGATTATGCTTGCTACAACTATTACGCCAACAATACAAACTTCAATCAGGAAATAGATCTGCTCTGCAGTTTGGCCCTGTCTCGTTCTCCCAAGTCTCATACCTGAAATCAACACTCCGAGAGAGGATGGCAGCTAAATAATTCCCACCAAAGCCCCAACTATTTAAGTCAATATATTAGTTCATTTCGATGCACCCAGCACCGGGAAGCTGAACAAAAACACGACACAGACCAACAACACCACCACCCACAAGACAGGGAGGCACCCCGCTGCCCAGAACCAAGCCCCGGCAGCTCCAGCACACCCAAGCACCCATCCGCCGCGCGGCGCGACCCTAGCACGTACGGTACGGGATCTCTCCGGAACCCCACAACCCCAGACGACCCAGATCCGGGACTTACTGGAGCGTGGGGACGATGCCGGAGGGGTGCTTGGACAGATCCACCGGCTGGCTGCCCTCGAGCCCCGGCTCCGCCATCCGAACCACGCACGCAACCTCGTCGGCTCCGCGCCGCGAATCCGGGCCAAATCCGAGGCCGAAATGGGCGGGAGAGGAGCGCGCGTGTCACGGGTTCGAGGGGGAATTCGAAATCCGGGTCTTTTATAGAGATCGGGAGAGGAGTTGGAGAGGAGGGAAAGCAAGGGAAGGGAGCTGCTAGGGTTATCTATCTCGCGAGGGGGAGGGAGAGCGCAGGCGGCGTGAGAATGCGGGGGGAGGGGGGAGGTCGTCTGGTGGTGGGAGGTAGATGCGTGCGGGAGTTGGGTTGTATCGGTGGACGGGGAGCAGGCGGTGGATGGGGAGTGCTTGGCTTTTGTAGGGGAACAGGGTGCACCGGCTGTGGCCGGTTACCCAGGGTGTGGTTTGCCCACGCGCTGGTTTGAGGTATGCAAACGGACCTGTGGGTCATAGCATGCGCTGGGGCCCCGTGTCGGTGTATGGGTATGAGTCGTGTTTGGCGGGCATTAATCTTAGGATTTCTCCTGCTCGCAAATCGCACTAGCTGGTTTCGAACCTCAGATCAACTGGTGATCGCTTCCGGGCTTAGCAGCTGTTTGGTGGTTTGTTTTATAATCTGATGAATTATATATAGAATTATGAAATTATGAACTATAATAATCGGAGTATTTGAATTATTGTGATGGATCATTCTTCGTTTATGTGAGAAAATCGTAATCACCAGAAAGCAGGTTCGAGGTAGATTATAAAATTATTATAACCAAGTGTTTTAATTATATAATCTAAATCATAATCTTAGTCTGTTTAGACTACAATTAAATTCTTTTAGCTAATTATTATAATCACGGTGGATCAGAACAGGCCTGACTACTTGAGCAGACGCATTTGGTCACTGCTGCAGTGCACATTCATGTTAACTACAACATCTTGCATTATATATAAAATGTTAGCTAAAATTTCTTTCATTTTAGAATGGAGAGAGTAGGCAATAAGACCAGTACAAAACGGACAGAAATAAAACGAATTATGTTTGAGAGAAAAGATCCAAAATCAATCCAAGTAGAAGCAAACATCATATGCGACATATAAGAGATTAATAATCTACATGTCTTGCATCAATTTATGAAACCCGAATTATCTGTCTCCCAGAGCATGGGCCAATGCCAATCATAACCTATTACATATACATCAGGCTTTTACTGAACTTGTGAACATCTTTTTTTTTTCGAAACAATGGCACGAGCTCTCCCTTCCAGTTAAGACGAATGAAGTTTATATACAAGCAAAAGTAGCCAAGCGTGGCACCAAACACCACGAAAGGTTAGCCCACTCACGCAACGCGGTAGAGTACACACTACTATGAGTCATCGTTGCCGAGCATGGTTATAAAGCAGCCAGCAGCTCCAACTTACCATGACAAAACACTGACGACCCAACCTAAGATGTCAGACCAACGGGCCCGAAGCAGGAGGCTGCAACAGGTCATCGTTGCCGAGCTCAACGGCTTCGCGAAGAGCAGCTCCGACTTCCTGCCTTGATCCCACGCCCCGCCCGCGGCAATTGCCAAGCCTCTAAAGCTTAAACCCAGCCGTCCGAGAAGGAGGGTTCGACCCGCGTCATCGTTGCCGAGCTACATCCCCTGATGCAACAGCTCCGACTTCACGATGCAGAACTCGTCGTCTCGCGTCAACCGGGTGCCGAGAGGCGGAGGACATCCGCCGAAGAAGACATCATGGTCGAGACAAATTTCCACAATGACGCCTTCAGGAAGGGTACTGTCGGTGTTTTGGACCGGCGGATCCTCAACCAACGAGTGAAAATGTACTGCGTGTCCCTAATCCCAGATGGTGATGCAAAGAGACACAAGGTTTATACTGGTTCAGGCAATAGGTGCCCTACGTCCAGTCTGGGAGAGCGATCTTGTATTCCTTGCACCGAGGTGCTTGTAGTAGGGGTTTACAAGCTGAGCGAGAGAGGGAGCCGGTCCTAGGTCTCTGTGAGGAGTAGTGCGGGTTGCTTGAGATGTTGATCTCTTGCAGTGAAGGAGTGTCCCCTGCCTAGGAGCGGTCCTGGTCACTCCCTTTTATAGTCGAAGGGAGGCACAGGGGCGGTACATGTATTTGCTACGTGGCGTTTTTTGTTTGGCAGAGGCGACATGCCTGAGCCCTGCCGCTTGTCACTGTGGCGGTATGGTCGGTGGGGCGGTCTTGTCTTCGGTGCACTGGAGCGACGCGGCGGTCACGCCCGATCCTGTGCGACGTGGGAGCTTCTGTGGTGGCCCGGCAGGCGCGCCTTCTTCTGTTGGAGACGTGCTGGTCACTGTAGGTTTGACCGGCGCGGAGAGCCGAGGGCGGGTTGATGCGACGGCGCGGGTACACTGATTCCGAGGCTACAGGAGCTAGGCCCTGTGTACGACGTGGGAGCTCCTGTAGCCTGACGCAGGGCGTGGCGCGTACTGCGGGCGACGTGCCGGTCCTAGCGCGTCGTCGATGTAGAGAGCTGAGGCCCAGTCGGTGCAGAGGCTGAATCATTGCGGGGGCTCGGCGGGCGCAAGCCCCGAGGCTACAGGAACCCGGGAGCGGTTAGCCGAGGCTCGGAGAGAGCAGTTGGCCTTATACGTCGATTCCGAGGCTACAGGGACCCGGGCGTGACTTTCCACGTTGCGTTGTCATCGGAGCAGGGGTTAGGCAGCACAGCGTAGCACGGGCGTCAGCCGTGGGCACAGTGCCGAGCACAATGGCCGGTAACCCCCGCCCCGTCCTGTCCCGGATGGCAGGGCGCTGATGTGACTTCCGTCTCGTCGGCCACTCCGCTGTACCGTGCCGTCGTGAGGCTGACGTCGTGGGAGTGGTTGAACGCTTTAGTTGGATGTGACGTCCCGTCAGAGAAGTCGGTCAAAGCGGCGGTGACGGGGTTGATGCCGAGCCGGCCTCGAGCGAGTCGGTAACTGGGTGCTCGTCCGAGGCCTCGTAGCGCAGGGCCTCGGGCGAGTCGGAGAATCGGTGGCTCATCCGAGGCCTCGTGGCGCGGGGCCTCGGGCGAGTCGGAGAATCGGTACCTCGTCCGAGGCCTCGTGGTATGGTTCTGGGCCGAGCCTGCTTCGGTCGTGCCTGGATGTTGTTCGAGGTGGGCCGGGCGATCCAGCCGGGCCTCGGATGAAATGGGGGTTTGCCTACGGTTGTAATTTGGCTTCGATATTTACAAGTCCTAAGCAATTTTTTTGGTCTTTACTTAGGGTACCCCTTTTTATGGTACCCGAAAGGTACGGCGCCGATTGCGCCGCCGTCGCTTGTCTAGGAATCGGTGCCCACAGGCGTTGTCGTCGCCAAGGCATGGCTGGGGCACGAGAACACGACGCCCCCAACAAGGAAATCGGCGCCCACAGGCGTCGTCGTCGCTAAGGCTTTCGCCCGAGGTGCCCCTAGCACATACGTCGAGCCAAGATGCCGGACACTAGCCTGTCGCCACCGTCGTCGTCACTGCCATCCCACAGAAACCCCTCCAGAGGGGCATCGACGCGCCGGCTGCTCACAGCAGCCGCACAACTGCATCGGCCGCCACCCCCTCCGACTGGGCAACATGCAGAGCTGGACTTACCCTGCCACGCGCGTCACCCTGCCGCACACGGAAGCCGTCGCCAGCTGTCGTCGCCAACTCAAGCACCCACCGTTGACGCTGCCGACCTCCGCCAACCACCGTCAGGCGCATGCCCCACCATGGGCGCCACCCCCTGCCCTGCACGGGCACTAGCCAGCGCCGCCGCAGCCACAGCAGGTGGCCCCGCCGAGCCCCACGCGGCTCACGCGAGGGCACGCCCCGCCGTCCAGCTACTACGCACGCCGCCAACAACTGCCGAGCGCAAGGAAGAGGAAGAGGCCCGCCCCAGGCCGACGCAGCCACCACCGCGCGCGCCCCTGGGCGTAGCGCCTTGCACCACGGGCGCCGTACTCGCGGATCCGGCGACTACCCGACGTCTTGGACAGGAGCCGCCGCCACCATCGCCCAGGCGCAGCCCGCCGAAGATCCACGCGAATCCAGTCCTTGGACCGCCGGATCCGAATGACGAAGCGAGGAGACTGCCCCAGACCGCCGCTGAAGACGCCGACGCCGCCACCAGCCTCAGCGACCTCGCCGTGCCCCAGGACGCCACACGCGAGCTCGTCCTCGACCGTCGCAGCTTCCACCGCGAAGAAGAGCCTCGCCCCGCCGCCCTCCCGGCAAGCTGCACGGCCATGCCGGCAGCCTGCTCCGGCGACAGAGCGGCTAGAGAAAGGGAGGGAAGGAAGAGAGGCGGCTAGGGTTTGGGTCGCCTCCCGTGTCGCCTGCGTGGGGGCGACGCGGGGGCCTTTTTTTTGTAGGACTGAAAATAACAAACAGGTGATCATCTTAATATCTGGTCATTTAAGGATCTGCGGGACTAGTAGGCCATCAGAAGTGATAACCTTCGGTTGTTTCAGATGGAGCATGAATGTGCATCACCAGTTTACAGCTCTGTATACTTTCACCTAATACCTGAACGAACTATTTGTGGCTCCTTCCTTGATGAGCCCATCATGTTTACTGCTTAGGTTCCCTTAGGTTAAACGCTAAATCTTCATGATGGAAGGTGTTTGCCTGAACTCCAAGACAGCAAGGTTTTCTCCATACTTCTTTACTTCAGTCACCATTCTGTTGTGCGATTCAGGGTATTTGCAAAAAATCACGACTTTGATTCAGCTCCCTGGCTCGTGCCTGCAACGTCAACATGATCCTTTACAAATGTTCGAAGGCATCCATTGATTACCCGAGGGGCACCACCATCACAAAATCGCTTTGCCAGATCTACTGCCTGAAAGACAAGGGTCGAGAGACATTTATTCTATTAGTACTCAAAAATGGAAAGAGTAATAGCTATAAGAAAGCATACAGGTGCTAGACGCGTAAAGTCAAAATATGAAGAAAAAAAAGTAATATGGAGAAAAATAAGCACCTCATTAATGACAACTTTGTGAGGTGTTCCTTTTGATGTCATCTCTGCCATAGCAATATGTAGAATGCAGAGCTCAAGTATCCTTGCCACAGGCTCATCCTGCCATGAAATTTTCCATGTATCAACAGCAGGTTATGCCATAAAACAAGACAGCAAATTGCAAAATACTAAATACTAAAATATATACGAACACATATTACCTGGACACCAGTTTAAAGATCAGGTAGATTATAAACTGAAAGGAAAGTAATATATTGTATTTCATATTTTTCTAATTTTTACTTAAAAAAACATCTGAGCTCTGGTAGTACAAACAAATATAGAAATAAAGCGATTCAGATTAAGGAAGGTACATTCTTCAGATTCTGTATCACTTATTCACTTCCTCATCCTTCGGGTGCCCAACAGAAATAACTAATTAACTATGCTGGAAAATTAAGTAGCGTAATAAGGTCATAAGTCTAAAATAACAATGGGAGATCTCAATATTTCACTGCATGCCAAAAGATAAGGCACGAAATAATCCTTGATGGTCATACACTTCTGGTATGCATCAGAGTGATTGTTCACTAGTTCAGTGTAGTGAAAAACAGTGGTGTAGTATACAGAATAAGGATACGTTCGAACCAAACTGATAACCATATAAACATCTTCTGGTATGCATCAGGGTGATTTGTTCACTAGTTCAGTGTAGTGAAAAACGGTTGTGTACTATACAGAATAAGTATATGCTTGAATCAAACTGATAAACATATAAACAGCTTGATGCATGTCGAAGGGATTTGATGAATCAGCATAGAAGATTAGGAAAAAATATCTAACCTTCCAAGCCTGGGGAATTATTTTGTCAATGATATCTACATGCTTATCCCATCCACTGGCAACAGCCACTAAAAGTTCCCTGGACAACCTGTACTTGAAAAACATCTAATTAGGAATGTAAGAGCAGCAGGACTAAATACTAAACAGGAAATTAAATTTATCACATATCAGAACAGTGTGTCGATACCTAATGCCTTTAGTGGAAAAGGGCAAGAAGGAAAGTATACCGTAAGACAAAGTTGTTGTAAACCAGTTTTGGAGGAGCTGAAAGTACATCTTCTTCTGAATATGAAAGAAAAACATGTCAAATTCGTTGCAGAAGAATAACCAAACATTAATGGAACATATTTACACAAAAAGAAATCTATAGTTACTCAGCTGATTTCACAACAGACTAAGGAAGAAAAATGTATACGGTTAATATGACTATATGAGCCGTTTAGCATGCATCATAAGGATATGTTTATTGCATTGAATAAGATAGATGCCACTGGGCTGCTACAAAAGATGCATGCTAACGAAGGTGAACAGTTTCAGCATGTCGATTAAAAGTGTAATCAACACATGGCTTGATAAAATATATCAAAATTTACTGGCGCTTAGAGTGATGGATTATGGTATAGCTCTCTTAAAACTCAGTCTGCAAAACCAAAAAAACAGATACACAACCCCTTTAGATCTAGAATTTTTTAGGCCCAACTCATTATGTCACTATTCTCAAAAGTGACAATTGACAACCTAGCCTGACTAGGTGGCACCTAGGCATTGGCCACTATACCTAATTAAGCGTTAGGTGCCACGCAGCTAGTTACCTAGCACATTGCGTTTTTTTAAGCCAAAGCACTGCATTAACTGTTCTAGTTTGACGGTCTGAAATCCACCGCACCAACTTGAAATTGCTCTAGCATGCCTTCCAGTTTTTATATACATGACAATAGGCACACACCCACAATAAAAAAAAAACTTGGCCTAAGTTCAATAATGTATTTATGGAACATCCAATGATCCATTGCTCTCTTAACTTTGGGAAATCAGAATCATAGATATAAAATATGAGGAAAGTTTCAAAACTTGGACTGAAACAAACCATAAAATTTGTTTAAACAGGAATCAACTTAATTTTCTGGTGGTTGTATGTTTCAGATTGTCCGAAGGATAACTGTTAAAAGACTGCTATAATGGAATTGGTACCCAACTGAACTTGTGCTCTATGGAATCTTCTGGATATAGAGATATTCCATCTCAAAATTGTGAGGAAAAAATGGAGATATGTCCAAATTTACCAACAACAATTTATGACTCCAGCTGTAACCGCGTTAACATATAGGGAGTAGAACCAGAAGTTGCGTGGGCATAGTTGTTACCGTTGGCTGAATCCTTCTCGTTCTGACTGGTCAGTTTCTCAGCCTCCTCCTCCATTCCGACCTCGAGCGGTCCCCCACCAAAGCTCATATGGTTGTAACTCAATAGGCATGCCTTGTCGAAAACAAACCCGGGCTCTGAACAAGCGTGGAGAAACCGAAATAAGAGGACAAACAGCAAGTAAAATGCATGCATAGAACGCCAGGAGCCCAGGAGTTTGCACTGATGCAAGGAGGTATTCAGCCGAGCAAATCGACGAGTTGATCCTTGAAACAAATGCACGAAGGAGAGGTGCTGGGAGAAGAACCCTGACCTCGTCTTGCGCTGATCCTGCGGTCGAAGAGCCGGACGACGTCGTTTCCCTCCAGACACGCGGCGTAGGAAATCATCCTGCGACACGAGACGCGGAAGCAGCGACCATCTCAGGGAAGGAACCACACCCAAAGCCAATCCCAACTCCGCGCGGAGGGAGAGAAACCGAAGTATGTCGGAGCTGAAGCTGGGGAAACGGGACTCACAGCGCGAGCTCCCGGGCGGCACGGGGGCTGCAGAAGCGGCCGGAACGGTCGACCTTGGCGTGAGCGGGGGAGGGCGTGCCCGAGGCCGCCGGCGGTGGCGGGCTGGAGACCACCAGCGGCGCGCGGGAGGAGGCGACGGCGCGGGGCGGGGGCGGCGCCGCGAGCGCCCGGGCGCGCCGCGAGGCCGGGCCCGCGAGGATAAGGCAGGGTCTAGCCCCCGCAGAGGAGGACGAGGACGGGGAGAAGGTGCGGACGCATGGCGCCGCTTCCATTTCGTCCGGCGATTTGAGCTCGAAATGGAGCGGACAAGGAGGGAGGGGGGATAGCAAGGGGATAAGGTTGTTGGGTCGGTTTGCTTGCGGGAACAACCGTTGGGCCGAGATCCCGCCGTCTTGGGCCGTCGTTCGTCATCGGCTACCACGGACCGAACGGCCTCTTGCCTTGGGCCTAGAAGAAACTGATGCCGTTGGAACTGACCGGAGTAAAACCGACCCCGCGCGCTCCAAAACTGGCGGTACCTATGGCAACACATCCGCATCGCTAGCAGCGCCAGCGGCGCTGGGAGTCTGGAGCGTGACGAGATGACGTCGACGGGGAAGAAGGCCGAGCAGAACGATCAACCACGCACCGACGCACGGAACGGAGACACTGGAGGCCGGTGGTCACTCTTCTGTGCGTCCAAGTCCTCCGTTTCTCTGTGTGTCCGTTGTACACGGCCGCTCGCCGGCGTGCGTGTCTCCGTCGACGCCTTGGCCCGATCCGGCCGCCCGTCGCGGTTATGGCCGGATGCATGCACCATGGCCACACACCTATTTGAACAAACAAATCATCCCGAGCTTCTAATTAAGTAGAGCAGTAAATTCTTTTAGCATGTGTTTCCTTTAGAGGAGAAGAAATAACTAGGGCATTTTGGAACGTAGGATTCTTCAAACACATAAATTGGAAAAACATGGGGAATGGAATGCCCTAATATCTTGAATCCTATAGATTGAGAAAACATATTGCAAGATTGAACGTTCGGATGGAGCTCAATAAAAAGTTAAAAACATAGGAATTCGATGAGAGAAAGGGTGACACAAAGAAAAAATTCCATGAGGTTTAACCTCTTGTAAAATTCCTCCAAAATTCTAAAAAACAAGTCATTCCATAGGAATTCCATGGGATTTGTAGTAACTAAATCCTTTGTTCTAAAGCGGTTCATAGGAAATTTTCCAATGCTTCGGCTTCTAGAAAAAAGGTAGGGGCACACCACTACATACATGGTCCATGCGAATTGAGCATACATCAATTTGGTTTTCCTTGTTGCAGAATGTTAGCGAATTGAGAATACTTCAATTTGTTTTTCCTTGTTGCAGAATGATAGCGAATTGAGCACACCACTACAAGATAGATGCCACTGGGCTCCTGTCTCAACATTTTTTTTTCTCTTTTAAAGAATGCTATTTTTCAAACTATCAAGATCTAAATTGCCTTATAAACGTTTCATATCCTTATTTAATCAGTATTACTTATAGAAATTATTTGGCAGGGCTTCCGCTCCTCCTAAAAGGGCTCCGATTTTAGTTAGCTTATCCAATGGAGCTAAACCGTTTGGCAAAAATGGTTCTAGCGACAGTTTTGTTATAATTTTTGCCAAATCTATGACGGGGGAGTTGGGAGAAGTCATATTTTTTTTGCCTTCACACATGGTTATGGCTCCTCCAAGCTTTTTCACCGCCGTTTCTTGGATGCCCATTTAGTAGGGTTGAAGCCACTCGTGTAGCCTATATTGCTTGTTCGCTTTTCTAGTTCCACATTTCGATTTTGTGCAAACATCTAATACTTTGGTCCTGCCAAATTGGCTTTGAGATTCATGTTGCGGCTTTACCTGGGAATTCTCTGAGAGACGCCCATGTCGTCCTCCCCAGCGGCTCTGGTGGACCTAAGAAACACACGGCATCGCCCTCCTCCATGGTGTCGCTGTGTCTCATCACCTCTAGAGCCGGTTGCCTAGGGCCCAAGCAACGGCGACGACGACGACGGCCAGGCTCCCTTTCCCCTTATCCTTCTGCGTCTCTTTGTTCCCTCGCATTTGTGGTCATCATGCTCCTAGTCTCCAGCGGTGGCGGCCTTCATTGGCTCCGGGGTGGCCAGATCCACCAAGTCCTTGGCCGGATTTGTCAATTTTGCAGCCGGATCCGGCATTTCCACAGTGGTTACTGTGCTCTAGGTCATCAGGTGGACGGCGGCATCCCTACGACGCTTGCCCGCCTGTGGCGAGAGACAGGAATGCCCACTGGGACTCAGCATGGCTGGCTTGGGTTGCTGTCGCATCGCCTATATATCCTTCCCGAGGTGACGGGCGGCCTTCGCGTTGCGGCTTCCTAGGGGTGGTGGCCCGGCCCTTGAGCACTGTGACTGCCCCCCTCGCCTCTCTGCTTTCCTATCTCCTTGGTGGGGTCGGGGATGTCTTCCAGTGGCTACGCGTGTGGTAGGGACGCCCCCGTGCGTGTGGTGGTGTCTGATGTCAGCGAGGATGCCTGCGTCTCATCATCGTTGCTTTCCTTTGGGACATGCATCCTCTGCGGGGGGTGCTGGTGGGCCGCGATGGATGAGTTGCATGAGGTTAGGGCGAAAGCTCGAACAACGACGTCTGTGGACGGTGCTTCCTCACTGGAGGGTCATTTTCGTACCTCTTCTACTACGGTGATGGAATTTGCAGGTAAAAGCATTTCCACGGTAGGCTAGCATCGTCGGTGCATTTGTTGTCGTTTCCTTTATAAAGGCACTGATAGGCTCTATTTGATAGTAAGAAACACAACAGAGACGTGTAGTCACTATTCTGGTTTTGTAGTCACTATTTGAATCTTGATCTTTCTTACATCTAGACACCCCCTAAATCCAAATAGAAGGTATTACATTATGCGCCTCAGAATGATCTGATAACACGAGATTGTCATTAGCTATACAAAACCAAACCAAAATCTTTACAGACGAGACGGCGCCTCCACCCTTCTACTCTTCTAGTCCTAATGACTGGTGACATGACTCATGAGCCGAGTCACGCGCTCAGTCACGGCGCGACATGCAGGGCCGCAAGAAGAACCAAGAGGAGCAGAGCCGCCGCGGCCGTGGCGCGCCGTCTACTCCCGGCGGACGGCGTGATCTGTATGGTGAAGTTGCAGGCGTCCGTGGACGGGTTCTGCGCCGTGGGCACGGCGAGCCCCTGGAAGTCGCAGCTGCCCTCCACCTGGTTCTGCACCTGGAAGTACATGTTGAAGGCGTACGACGCGTTGCCGACGGCGTCCAGGCCGTTGCACGACGAGCCGTAGCCGAGCGAGGTGCAGTCGGAGAAGGTGCAGGCGTAGGTGACGCTGTCGCCGATCTTGCTCATGTCCGGCGCGTTGGGGTTGACGACGCACCACTGGCGGGGCAGGTACTGGACGCCCCTCGCCGCCACAAGCGCCGTGTTCCGGCCCTGCCCGGACAGGTCCATGGCGTACTTGGGCTGGCCGTCGTAGCGCATGATGCCCCAGTGGCGCTCGAAGTTGCCCGGCGCCACGCTCTTGGCGTCCTCGTCGATGAGGCTGAACAGGTACACCTCGATGTATCCCGGCCGCAGGGGCGTGCCGGTGTTTGCCGCCAGCTTCCGCAGCAGGCCCGCGTAGAACCTCTGCGCGTACGCGGCCGTGGCGTGCTTGTCGCCGTCGGTCGGCCACCCGACCTCGCCGACCACGACGGGGAGGCCGCCGACGCCCGCCGCGGCGAGCGCGGACACGAGCGTGTCGAAGTTGGCGTCGAACACGTTGGTGTACCGGATGCCGTTGCCGGTGTCCACCACGGGGCTGCTCGTGCCGTCGAAGAAGGCGTAGTCCAGCGGGAAGTCGTCGTTGTCGTAGAGGCTCAGGAACGGGTAGATGTTGACGGTGAAGGGCGCGCCGTTCTGGTTCAGGAACTGCACGATCTCCGTCATGAGGCCGGCGATGTCGGACCGGAACCGCCCCGCCGACGGGACCTGGTTGTCCGTGGGGGAGTTGTACACGTCGGCGTTCAGCGGCACGGTGGCCTTGATGGTGTCGCCGAGGCCGGCGTCGTTCAGCGCGCGCTGGATGTTCTGCAGGGCGGGCAGCGTGACGTTCAGGAACGTGCCGTTGAAAGACGACAGGAAGGGCTCGTTCCCGACCGCTACGTATCTGCACGCAAACATTGACCGCGTTATCTTATCAATCACACGAGATCTTAACCACCCCGCCGAATAATTTCCTACTTGATGTTGATGATGACACATTTAGGTAGTGTGGTACACCGAAATCAAAATAATTTTCTACCACTGATTAATCAGGCATTTTCGGATCAGATACGCTACAGTGTCATCGTGAGGTGTTGTAAAAGCTGCTTATCTGAAGATTCTTTGAAGCGACGAGCTTTAAGCGCAAAATTGAAGTAGTTATCTAAAAAGTTCAAAGAGTTGTGCATGTCTTTTTTTTTTTAGGAACAAAGAGTTGTGCATGTCTAGTGGGCGCCCAGTGGCCACAGCAGTTAGACAAGTGTCCTGGTACTTTATTCTTGTGCATGCAACTTTGTTTTTTAGACATTTCGGTCCCAGAAGACAACACCCAAGGTTAGATTCTTTAGACAGATAACAGCACAAATCCAATGGATATCCGTAACTTTATATTGCAACTTGTTGATGTCAAGTTTGACACTTTACTGATAAAAAAGGCTTCCTCTGAATCAGCCGATAGAAAAAACGCGTCACCCTATGCTAAAACTTGCAGCTACTGCACACCTGTATTAACCAAGAAGGTCTCCTAACTAAACATTTTTTTGGGGGGGAATAGCTCCTAACTAAACATTAACCTTGTTGCAGAAGCATAAGAATGTCGAGCATGGCATGATCACAACTCAAAATATCACTATGTTCATTAGAGAAGATTAGCACCTCCACCTCAATGAAGTTAAGAGCAAGTTTTTTTTTATGTTTATATATATGATGAGAAGTTTGTTAGCTGAAGTGCACGTTCACAGCTTCTAGTACTACATTGTTGTCACCGATATAAAGTTTCCATTTTTCAGGGGATATATATATATATATATATATATATATATATATTTTAGAAAGCCACAGCAGACGCAGCCAACAAATGCGGATCACAAATGCAGAGCTGAAAAGGATCACACCAAGACGGCAAGACCAATTGTTCTTGCCATATCCTTCCCTTTTGGGAAGAAAAAAAAGAAGACGCAGAGAGTAGGATCATCAGCATGTTCGTTTCGGCTGAATTGGCTTATA